CAGTGACCGTTCCTGTCCCCGTAAACCACAATAATGGAATGGAAATGTGAATCGGTTCATGTTACAGGACAATGTTTTGGTCCATCTCAAATAAAATTTCTCCTTGGTTAATGCTTGAAGAGACGTACACAAACACACTCAAGTCACTATGTTTCAAACTGGACCATAGAAACAATTTTGAAATTAAGGGAGGGGTGTTGGACAGAACTGTAAGGCTGTGCGATGAAGATTCCTTGAACAGGATCTGGGATGTCGCTCTTCAATCCCACATCATCTGTGTCCCTACAATCTGTGAACACCAAGAGACTTAAGTCCAACTCACAAATATGTGTGTCCACTAATGAAAGCCTCTGATTATCAGAAATAGGGTGAAATGAGATGGATGTAAACAGTAACCAACAGAATGTTACCGAAATGCCATTGTGGGACCAATGGCAAGTTCTCTTATCATTTAATCATCCCCAGTTCGCTTTTATGGATAATTTGTCATTTATGAAAGAAACAAAATGGCGATTGACAGCTCTTGGTATTCCATCCCTCCAGGCTTCAAAGCTCTGTCTCCTTAAGTTTTTAAAAACAGAAGAACTGGATTCCTCCTGGAAACCTTGAATCCATCAAATCCTGACCAAACAAAGCTGGGAGAGACTTCCCCAGTGTCTCACTAGACTGTCATTTCCTTATGATCCACAGCAAAGGGAAACTGTTTTCATGAGCTGCCTTATGTTTCAGTTTCATCTAATTATTTGCTTATATACAGGCTCAAGGTGGACGGCTTGCATTTAACAACTGAGCAGCTGAAGTTCCTGTTGACTGTTACGGACAGTGTTGCGAAAGTTACTTTTGAAATGTAATAGGTTACAGATTACTGGTTACCCTGTTAATGTAATAAGAATTATTTCAATTACTTTGATATCAATGATGTAACTTATTATATTTGATTTCCTTTTGATTACTTTTCTAACGAATGTTTTAAAGTGGGCAAAAGCTGAAAACTGAAAAGTTTTAATTTCTTTGCTGACCTGTGTTGTCTGGAAATATGCCAAAAGAAGGCATTTCTATATAAGCTTATTACCGAAAAGAACATAGTGTCATGCCCCGATCGTTCGCTCCTTTCGTGTGCCACGCCCCCTCATTAACCCCATGTGGATTCCCCGTGTTTACCAGCTGTTCCTGATTGTTGTCATTAGTCCATTGTATTTAGTCCGTGTTTCCGTTTGTTTCCCCAGTCCGGTCATTGGTGTGGTGTGGTGTGGTGTGATGGGATGGGATGGGATGGGGTGTGGTGTGGTGTGGTGTGGTGTGGTGTGGTGTGGTGTGGTGTGTTGTGTTGTGTTGTGTTGTGTTGTGTTGTCTTGTTGCCTGCTTAGTGCTCCGATTAAACCCTGTGTTCCTGATTCCTGGCTTCCTACTTATTCGTCTACGCTCCGGGCGCTTACGCGATCGTAACACATAGAATATACATAAAAGAATATATTTACAGAATGATTTCAACGACTTTTTAATCACCAGAATTTTGATTAATTTAATTACATATTATTTCTCAGTAACTGTAACTGATTACAATTACATTTATTGTTAAATTTAATTGCTTAACACTGTTAAATGTAAATAGTTACTCCCAAATACTGGTTATAGGAAGACAGTGGAAGTCATCTAGTGCTTTCTGCCCATCCGGAGCTGCAGTCCCTCTGGAGACCAGTGGGGGTTCCCTATGAATTCAAACAAGAGGCACACATGGTCTTTGTAATGGAGATGCATAAACATTGGGTGGAAGGAGCTGTCAGTCATAAGGTGGTGTTTTGGAGTGACGGGATCTATCTGAAATGGGTCAGGAAAAAAAAACACATGATTGGCTTATTCCTTTACTTATATATGTGTGTAGGTTTTGTTGGTAAAATTGTGATTGCTGTGCTCTGAACCATGATGTACTCGGCATAGAGTTCACATGAAAAATTGGTCAGGATTATTGTAGATACTTTTTCTGTTTTTCAGAATTTAAGAGTAAAGTCATCCTGAAGCAAACAAATCCATTCTAGGGGATAAACTGCAGCATTCAATTGTAACCACTGTAGGTAAATAGAACAGAATAAAAAAAAATAATTCACAGCAGAGACTTTTTGTGGAACGGAATGATCTCGACAACCAGCGAAAAGCACAGCAAGATAGTCTGCGTCCAAAAATTATACGCAGATCTGCTCTTTTATGAGAGACTCCCTCATGTCATTTTTCTTCACTCCAAAATTGTTTCACATCACCATATTTCATACATTTCATTAATTCTTTCCAGGTACATGATGAAGAGCACCCATATAAGTTGAATCTCTTAAATGTGACCAATAAAGACACATTTAAATTTGAATATTGGTGTTGGACATTACATACTTTATCTGTTTTCAGTACTTAAGTACTTAAGACAATATGTTTCCCTTATTTGTAATTTATTAGTCACACTAAGTAAGGAAAGAGGTTCCTTTTTTAATCAAAGCAAATATATTTTCCTCTGACCCAGATGAATGTGTGTGTCATGACCTGCTCGTCCGATCCTCGTGCACGCCCCCTCATTACCTACTTACTACCCCGATTGTGATCACCTGTTTCCTGTTATTTCGGCTTGTCTTGTGTATTTAATCTCTTAAATGTGTATAAGTCCCCAGATCCGTCATTAATGTTCGTCGCCGACTGTCCTGTCAATCCCTTAATAAAACCCCGCTTTCCTGCATTCTTGCCTGTCTGCCTCGTCCTTCCCCGCTTCCTGCTTGATCACCGACCAGCGATCGTAACAGTGTGTGTTTGTTGTGTATATATGAATACATAATTAAACAAATATGCTGTTCCAGGTACCTGACTAACAAAGTATTAAAAATTATTTGTTTAATTATCAATCTATTTTTTTGTTTATTTTCTTTCCTGCTTACTTATAACTTAATATTCAAGACTCTGAATACTTTTGTCCGGTCAGCATATATTTAGATATCATATTATTTTTGTAACTACTTCAAATTTCAAGAATTTTATAACTGTAAGAAATCTTGATTTTCAAAATATAAACTTGGCATCCAGTGGGAGATGGGAAGTCTGCCTTTACGAGGTTCTGTCAGTGAACAGACATTATGATGCTCTATCCTCCTTATTCAGCACTTCACAGTTTCATTGAAAAACACTGGCGCTGTATCCAAAGATCTATCTGCCTGTTCCATTCAGAATCCCAGAATCCATTTGGTTTTAGCACATATACGTTTGAGCTGACATTTGGTATAAAAAAAAAACAAATCTGGAAAACCATTCACTGCAATTCGATCATCCAAAGAAACATTTCTGCATTAAAACCAGGAGATCTTTCTGTTGTTCTGTTTCAAGTTTTGTTCTGTTTTAAGTTTTCAGAGTCAGTTTGAATCACCAAATTTTAACTGCCCGCATAACTTTAAAAGAGAATCTTACGGACGATTTACAATGCATGTTTTCATTATCTGAAATGGGTATAAAGAACATTTAGCTTCCTTTGTTGAGGAGCAAGCACTCACTGTCACTATTAAGTGAACCCAGCGAAGGCAGACATACGGCTGAAGTTTAGTTGAGGCAAATCTAAAGGACACACATGTGTTATACACAAAATAGACAAAATACTTGTATTTTGTTTGGTTGCTTATGGTTAAGGTTGTCATTGTTGGGATTAGGGATATGCCAATAGAATTGAATGCAGTCCCCACAAAGATATGAGTATGTGTGTGTGTCTGTGTGTTTTTGTGTGTATGCGTGTGTGTGTCTGTGTGTGTATGGTGTGTCTGTGTGTATACGTGTGTGTGCGTGTTTGTGTACACGTCTGTTCCACACCTTTTGTTTAAAAGCCTAAACAACTTGTTGAAAAACAACAGGAGTCGTCACGCTAAATGAGTGAACAAAGATTTGCAGAGTGAACTGCAAATCAAGCCTGATGCAGAAGTTTATTCAGCCTTTAACCACATAGAAATAACAATCACTATTTATTCAAATCAAGTTCTTGTTTGCGTAGCCCGGTGTGCCATAATTTCCCGTACGTGCCGAATATGAGAGATAGACAGGTTGGAACTCCCAACGATTCGCCGACATTTATTATTTTTCTGAGAAACCAAAACTCACAAAGGTCACTCCAGTATTCCTCATTACGTTTGTCCTTGTTCTTCATGATTACTGCTAGTATTTTTCACTTGAATACTTGTTGGTCTAATGTGAAGTATAATAGAGAGAAAAGGCCTCGTAAGAATGTGCATTCATGCTTCTCTTTGCCCTCCTGTCACTCTGCTGTGCTCCTCATCTCTGTTTCTGCAGTTTCTTCTCTGCCATTTCACCTACGCCATTCCCGGAGGAGTCTGGAATATTCAAAAAATGCTACTTTGTGTGATATTCCATAACTCATTTCTGTTTACAAAAATAAACCAGTCTTCTGTATCATTTTCTCTCTCTGTGATGTAAGAGCAACCAGCTGAGAGGGACACCAGAAACATTCTTTGCAAATGGGGAACGGACTGAACTTTGGCAATGAATGAATCTGACCTGAGGATGAACTGTCACATTTTTAATGCTATCTATTGATGGTATTAATTGTAAATTCTAACCTGCACTGAACTGGCATCCTGCCCAGGGCTACCATGAACAGTGGGAGGGGGGGGGGTGCAATTCCAAGGGACCCTAAAGAAATTGTAACTTGACTGGCTGGATGGATGGAAAAATATATATTATAAAATATATTGCTAACAGGTTACTGATCATAGTCACAAAGCGATAAGTAGATATCAGGTATTGGGACTGACTGTCACACCCTGCATGCCTTTTTCTCCGTGGTGTGACGCTAAGGAGCCACACCTGTTCCTCGTTTAACCCTGCCTCTCGTTTCAGTCCTCGTGTGGATGATCCCAGGTGCCTCTCGTCTGCTCCTCATCTGTGGTGTATATAGTGCCTCCTCGTCCTGAGTTCCTCAGTCTTGTCATTGTCTTGTTCTGCCTGCCTGCCTGCCTCCCTCCCTCCCTCCCTCCCTCCCTCCCTGCCGGCCGTTCCTCCCCAGCTCTCCCAGCCTGGTATTGACCCCTCACCGTCTGTTTCCTTTTGCCCTTTTATACTGTGTTTTGTTGGAGCCCCTCAGTTTTTTCCCCCATGCTGACCATAAGCCCTCCCTGGCTTTCATTATTAAATTGCCATCTCTGTAATCTGCTATTCAACTGAATTACCAATAGATTTATTTGCCTCGTCCTGTCAAAGTATTATATATTCAGATATTTTAGTGACATTTTTCCTCCTTGTATATTTCTTTACTTAACAATAATCACCTCAAGTATATAATGTGTCCCCAAAGTGCTCCATTTATTTATATATGTGTGTGTGTCATGACCTGCTCGTTCGCTCCTCCTGTGTGCCACGCCCCCCTCGTTACCTCGTGTTAATTTCCGATTGTGATCACCTGTTCCCTGTTATTTCGGCTTGTTTCATGTATATTAGTCCACGTCTTCCTTAGTTGGGTGTCCGTCATTGATGTGACATGCGTCGCTGTCTGCCCCGTCTGCCCAAAAAAAACCCTCGTTTCCTGCTATCATGCCTGCCTCGTTCATCGCCGCTTCCTGCCTGCTCGACCGCCGCGATCGTGACTCTGTGTGTGTGTATTTTTATTTGTAGTCACTTTGACACCTATGTTGTAATGAATACTTTCAAATGTCTCTCAAATTGGCTCATAATAATGTAATGTTTGCATTGTATTTCTTGGTTCTCATTTTCATGGACGCACTGTGGATAGCAGGTAGGCTACACTAAATTATGAGTGTTGATTAATTGATGCAATGAATTCCATACTTTCCCATGGCTTGGAAACCGGTTATTTATTTAAGGGCATTTTCCAAGAAAGATTCTTCGGCTACTTCATCTGCATAACGCGAAATCGTTCACCAGATGCAATGGATCTGCCTTTTTCGTTTATCAGCAATTTTTGCATATCCGTCTAATGATTTTTTTTTACTTCTGAAACGCGCCATTGGAATAACAACGTTCGCGATTAAAGTCGCAAGGCCGCGTACGTCTGGCTCGCAGTGCCGATCGGCCGGTCCCGAGTGAGGGACCGAGCCTCAGCACCACCCACGGGAGGAGCGGGAAGTCGAGGCGGGCGGGGCGCGACGGGACGCCAAAGCCATGCGATCGTTTTCGCAGTCGCGCCTCGTTTCGATGCCAAACGAGAAGCCGCGTCGTGTTCAGGCGTCCCAGCGCTTCTCGGGTCGCAGCTGCCAAAGTGTAGCTGCTGAAATGTGACAGAGGCCATTAATTTTACCTTAAGCGCAAAAGCATCTTACTTCCCAGTCGCTTTTGGCAAAATACCTCCGCTTATTTTAAATACTGAATGATTTTGCATTTTCCAACTTCACCAAAGTAGGACATTTTATGGAATTTCATTATGTAATTTAAAAAAACAAATTATGCAATCAAGTGAGAATAGACCACACAGTGCAGCAAATCAGCCTGCCCAGTTTACCGTTAACCTATTTATTGCGGATTCCGCATAGTAGTTCGGGCTGAAAATGTTAGTAGCTTATATTCATCCTTGCTAATGACCGCACACCATTAACCAATCGACTGGACATTTGCAGTAGTTTTATATCAAAGCCAGGTGCAGTTAATTTATGGCCAGAAACAGTGAACACAGATTTTCCTTGTATCGATACACATGTGAGTAATACCATGTAATTATTTTAGATTAATAATACCAAACAAGTAGACATAAACCAATTACATGCTTCGATTGTTTTTGATTGATTTGTCACATTTAAACGGAAACTTCATATTTCTGAAGGCAATCGTCGTGTTACATTAGTGTTTTATTAAAACCGTAACAGTTTTTGAGGTTAAGATCACTTCCCAGTGTATCACTGATCACTGTATTCGCGCTTTGCGCTTGCGATCGTGCGCGCAGGTTAGACCAAGCCGTGTACCTGGGCCCGTCTATATGTATATTAATAAGCCGTAATACAGTGACTCCAGATGGGCTGCATCAGGATCGTAACAGTCTGAGAACGTCCAAGTCCAGCAATCCAAGCAAACAGCTTTTGTAAATGCTCTAATTTGGGGTTTAGAGGTTTCTTTTCTTTTATTTCTGCTTGGTTTGCCTTGGTTTGCACAGTCCTAATTAGCTATAAGTACCGTGAAAGCTAATAACTTAAACACACTTGCAGTCTGTTTCTTCCGTTTTCTCGGGAATAAAACCCATTGTATGTTTCTAATTTGATGAAAGGCACTTTTAAAGATGTTTTGTTATGGACGCACCAAGTCATCGCGTATTTAGCCACATGTTTATTACTGTTATAAAAATTGAAGTTATTAAAAAAATGAATAATTCCTAGAAGAATCGTAAAACTCTCCATCTACCCACAGAGTCACCATATAGCCCACAGTAGCCTATTAGCCAATAATACTTGTAAAGAAAAAAATGACTAAAGGTTATTAAACTTTTCTTATCTATAGCATATTTTCCATTCAGCTGTCTCTGGATACAAGCCCAAAAAGCGTAACTGTTTTCGTGTTACGGTCCTGCAGCGGACAAGCCGTCCGCCGGCGTATCTCCAGTTGTTGCTAAACTTTACTCTGAGCAGCTGAATGTGATTGACAGCATGGCAAAGAGAGCAGATTGTCAGGACCACATGGATGGCGGGATCATCTGCCACTCTTTGCCTCCCGGAAGGCTTGTATCCTGAAGATTGACTCGAACCTGGAAGCAACTAAACCGGGGTGAAGATCAGAAGAGAAGCTTAGATTGAAATTGCATGCGGACACTTCTGAAGAGCGTGCTTGCGGGTGGTCCCGTTTGTCACCAGTCTTACAAAAAAAACACCAGACTCCCAAGACAATATGTATTATTTATTTCTACAAAACATGCTTTGCTTATGTGTAGCTGGTTTGGGATTTGTCTGTCTGTTTGTAAAATCGCAGCGCACCGATGCATTATAAGAATAATTCCAGACCCCGAGGCTGCGGTCTTCAGGATTTTCAGTTTGAAACGTGTCAGAATCCTGACGTAGGCTGTATACCTGCTGTCCCAGTGGGCAAAAGGTGACAAGAAACAAACCAGGAGCTGCAGATAACAGGCTGATGGCAGATAGCATTCAGTGGCCATGCGCCGCTGCAAGAAAACAGACATGCAATGTTGCAACTGGCAGAGCAATTATCAGAGAGCTTGTTCTGCTGCAATTCCTCAATGTCCATTAAAAGAACACCTGGTTAGTGACAATAAACTAGGCAAGCATCCATCTTGCTCCTGAAGTTAATAAAACTCTTCTGTTTTGAGGGTCTGCACACCTCTGACCTTTGGTGCATAATAGAAGCAGTGTCTACCGTTGCATTTTTTTAAAGATCAACATAACCAAGCAGATTGACATTTTTATTGTTTCCATTCTGCACCATATTGGAATTTAAGTACACATAGTCCAGTCCTTTGTGTGGTGTCTGCAACGGGCAGATCCTTTGTCTGGAAACACTTTGATTTGCTTCATATTTGGTGAAAAAATATTAGCAGAAAGGGAATATGAGTCCCAAAGGTGTCAAAAAACAAAAATTTATTCATTCATCTGCATAATTCTGAAGACAAGGGTAGGACAGCTGGTTTTTATTGCTGTTTGTGGTGAGATTTTATTTTTTTTGGGGTGCAATCAATGTGGCCGAAATGCTGATTTGACGCAAGATAGTCATTAAGCTAGGAAATACAATAGAGCTTCATAATTGCCCTGTGTTCCAGGTTTTTTTTTTCTCCCTAGCACAGTGAACTCTTTGTAGAGGGGGAAAAAACCAAGGCTCTCAGAATTCCTGATGTTACTCCGGACAGTTACAATAGTGAGGAGACCCCCGGGGGGGGAAATGCAAGTGTCGATCAATCATGAGAACCAATGCCACTCAGAGGGTGCAGAAACAGCCATGTACTAATCTGACTCTCCTATAGACAATATCTCTTAACTTGGCTTAAATTACCTTTAGCAGTACCTCCAAAGTTCCACTCCTTGCATTATTAATGAGTTGAGGGTATTTCATTCCGTTCCTCTGTTCTCACCACTATTGTTAGCCATTTCGCTGCTGACAGTGTTTGTGTTCAACGAGGCTGGAAGCCCGATCAAAGCAGCATGTTTAATTTACTAATTACTCGTCCCTGGTGTAAGGAGGAGAACTTGGACACATCTGGGGCGGATAAATCGGTGACACATGCATCGCAGAAGCGGACTAGCACGCGGGATAGACGGAGAAGACTGCGGTGGATGTCTGTCTGGTGTGCGTGTGCATCCCCGCTGTCTCTGGCAGCCGAGGATGTCTGCATTGACGGATCATGAGGACGACGTTTTTTTCCAATTGCTTAATTCTGTAATTTAATTTGCTAGTTAACAGGCGAATCCAGCCTCCACATTCACCGGCTTCATACGCTGAGTAAACAGGACTCTCCAAATGAGGCCCAGCATACAGTACAAGTTAAAAAGTTTCTGCAGTTTAAATTCTTTCAAATCACATTTACATATTACGTGCACCTATTTTTTTGCATCTTTGCATCTTCTCTGCCTCTTATCTTTCTCTACTCTAGTCAGTTCTCTCTAATGCTCTCATAGCAAGTAGTTGAGGTTGTAACTATTTGGTTTAGATCTTTAAAGAGGGAAGGAAATATGTCCAATCACAAACCACCGGAAGATCCATCTGCTCTGAGTTTAAACTGCGTATTAGGTGAAAGCTGCCATAGTAAGAACATCTCTGAAGTGGTTTCTGTCTGGCCAGTGTGTGCCTGACGATTGCTGGTTCAATTCCTGGGGTCACCAGAGTGATTTTGCCATAGGGCCCTTGAGCAAAGTCTATAGATCCAGTTGTTCCTGGGACTGTCTGATCCTGCGTTCACAATGGATGTATATTGCTTTGGATAAAAGCATCTGTTAAGTAAATAAAATGTGATGTAAAGGGTTCACTGACTTACCTGCGTGCTCAGGAGCTACAGCAATATGCCATTGGTGTTGGATCAGCATTTGTGGGTTCAGGATTAGCTCTTTCTGACTGTCTGGTAATGCAGAGATTTCAG